TTTAAACTATTCGCAAGCTCCAGATCCCCACTTTTACCATCTGTGATTGTCATATTTGTGTTATACTTTCCTTGACCTTTATGTGGTACACTAATCATCGTCCTAATGCCTTCCCATGCCTGTTTAGAATTTTCCTGTGACATTTTAGCTTAATTTTTTTGGTTTATATACAGTAGGGCCTTATCAACCTTAATTTGTCTTTTACTTTCCCTTTGAATGTCCCTTTTAGCTAAAACATCCTTATTATAATATGCTACTGTAACAACATTATGTATTACATTAAATTAGCTCAAATGATATATAGGGAATTTTAATAATTAATCAGGAATATGATTAACATATATCACATATTACAGTTACATTAAATCATTGAAGCTGCAAATAGACCGATTGTATAAATGAATGATCACCACAATGAGTTATGGTTCGTCATTAATATATCAATAGTCTCATTACAGATCGATTATATGAGATAACTTTAAAGGAATTAATTTAGTTATCAAACGATCTGTCTGTCCAGCAAACGGCCGTAAGATTAACTTATCAATTTTCAACAAAAATGATCTCTTTCTTATAATTCAAAAAAGCTATTTTCTGGCCATGAAAAATCACCTTCTTGTTATTTTCAAATTTAGGTTACTGAAATAGTAACGAATTGTAAAGCTTTGTAGCTAGATCAAACATTTCATTGACTTTGTAAAAATGAGCATTTTAGACAGAAGCAATCAAGAATATGGTTTAAATAAAATGAAACTACGGATACAGAATTCTACATTTAAACCCGGGATACATGTATGTACAGTAAACAGTAAAACTAACAAGACAAACGAATAACAACGGGAGTGAGAGAGAGAGATTGAGTGAGAGAGAGAGAGGGAGAGGGAGAGAGAGAGAGAGTAAGAGGATGAGAAAGTAAAACTAAAGGTCAGGATTAGAGATTGCAGTACGGCACAAACCACAGACAAAATGAACCTTGAGAGACACAAATATCAAATCCCCTGAATGGGGTAAACAGATCTTAAAGCATTTAGATCGATAGGAATTATGATACTTGCATGATTCTTCGTGTGGCTGAGAACGAAAGCGTGTGTGTGTGTCTCTGTCCTCGTGTCACGCGTTCACGTGGTCTTTCAGAGCGAGGGAGCGCGTTAGTTTGAATGTCCTCTGAGATGCAGTTGCTGGTTGGTTCAAAGAGTCTCTTTAAAGTTGAAGTTGCCGATTACGTTCATTTCACTGAAACTGAACGTAGGAAAGTTCGAAGACGAAAATAAAGAAAGATTAAAGAAAAAGGAGAAACACGGCGTAAAGCTCCCTAAGGAGCCATGGAACTGGAAACCTCTCACAGGGAAAAAGCTCTCTATAGGAACTTCCTGGGGTCAGTCTTTTATGGAAAAACTGGGTTCACGCCTCTGTTTGCGCGAACCACCCATGACCATCCGAGAATCTGAAGCGGACAAAGTTTTCTTTGTCCTGTGGGGGATGCCCACTGGACGTTTCGGGGGGGGGGGAACGTCCAGTGGGCATGTTTCGTTTCGTTTCGTTTTGTGTGTCCCGTGAGACGTTGAAACGTTTCGTTTCGTTTTGTGTGTCCCGTGAGACGGCGAGGTTTGCATCAGGGGAATGGGTGACTACAACGCTTGGCTTGTTTTTAATGTGTCATGTGCCAGGGAGATCCCAGTCATAGTGGCATCCCCCTGCTGGTCAACATCCCCCAAGGGGGTCGTACACAGAATGCTCTTTGTTTACTCACGAAGAACTGAGCTTTGTTTGTAAATCAGAGGCAGAAAACGCATCTTTAACGTTGCCATAACACTTGTCCGATGTCTTATTTTTCCTGGTGCAACAGTTCACATACTGGTAGTAAGTCCTCGAACAGATTTTCAAGGAGGTCTTTGTGAAAGTTGATATAACACAGAGATTTTAGCTGAATTTGCTAGCGGATGTATAAACCACAGTAAAAAACAGTGGTGGGAACAGGAGCAGTAATTGACAGGAGCAGGCCCTGTCGTGGCAGATTCTCGGTCTTCGGTCCCTAATTTTCAAAGTCTGGTTCAGGTCTCAGAAGAAATTTTTCAGAGTCGAGGTTTCGGGTCTCAGAAGAAAATAACTTTATTGAGCAATTCAACAAAGTGAGATGGTAGCTAGGCATCTGACTTCACAAGGGCCAGCGCTCAGGTCTTATACCTTTTTCTTATCGTTAGGTGTCCAATTAGTGCTAATACAGTTATCTTTTTCTACTTGCTCCTCCTTGGCCTGTCGCCACACTAACTTCAAACGATCAAACTAACTGTCACCATCCATCATTTTGACAGAAAGTTTAACCAGAAGGGGCGGAACTAGATCAAAGGTCACCATCCATCATTTTGACAGAAAAGAAACACCTGCATCAATGCCTTATTCTTATTGGTGGCAAGACCTTAGCGCATGCGCTTTTTTAACATCTCCCCATGTATTCAGGGCTAGTTTTCTCTAGTATAGACATCACAGCTTCAGACCTGGTTTTCTCCAGCATTACAGCATTTTATATTATTCAGACCCATGTATGAGACATGTATGAGACAAATGAAATTCCCCAACAGCCTTTGAAAGAGAGTTGTGAAAAATTGACAGACTGATTACTGATATAACCTATTTTACCATGTATTGTGCATGCTTGTTTGATTTTGATCAAATAAAATCATAAAGCATAAGCTTAAATTATAATAAATAGTTGCATTGCTATTTTAGGTGCTGATCATGTACAGTAGACAGTGATTATTATTTTAGAATCAATATGAAAATGTTCATAATATGTAACAATAAGAGTTTGATGTGATTTGTTTTTAATAAAATATGAATGTTAGCATATTAAATTATTATATTATTGATTGATTCTTGATAGTGATATAGTCTGGAGCAGGTTTTAGGTTAACAGGGTAGACATGGTTATGACATTCCTGAAAGATCCTATATATATATATACATTTTAAATGAAAAGGTTAACAGCTTACTCTGAGTATACTGGTTTAGTTGCTAAACATTTGCTGAATTCGGAAGGTATAGCATACTACTCTTTCTATTTTTCCTATATATCTTTCTATGGGAAAAATAATATGGCTACAGAGCACCGAGCATTAGAACAGCGAGGCACAATAACAGTTTTTTTTCACTCAGGCTATTCGGTCTGAACAATTAAACTCTCATAACTATACACTGTCATAACTGTACATTCATACATAACATCTAAAATTGTACATCTGTAAATTACCTAATAAACTGTAGGCTACACTTGTATATAACATATTCATTAAAACAAATATATATATTGGCCTGTATATTTTTCTATATTTCTACTACTGACTTGTATTGAATTATTTAAATTTTTATTTCTTATATTATTGTTATATTTCATTTCTAATGTGTAAGTATGTCTGCACTATCATGTATGTCCACACTATGTCTGTACTTTCTTCTGCACTGGAAGCTTCTGTCACCCATACAAATTACACACACAAGTGTAAACATAATGTGGCAATTAATCTCATTCTGATCCTGATTCTGACGTTGGTAGGTATCTTAAAAAAAATAGGTTGGTCAGGCCAGGGGCGGAGCCAGACGATGTAAACATTCGGGGCTTAGCCCAACTAGGGGGGTCCGGGGGGATACTCCCCCCCGTAAGATTTTTTTCCCATTTACGTCAGCTAAATGCACTATTTTTCAGGCTGTTTGAGAATAGAATACCTAAAAATCTATACACTATCTGGGAAAATTATGGTAGCTAAGTAAAAAAAAAAAAAAAATCCCCCAGTAGAGCCTATACAATTTTGTATTTAATTGTTCTCCAGCTGTAGTGAATCCAAAACACCAAAAATGTTAGGGTTTGACTCATTTTCACCCCTGGTGAAATTTCTTGTTAGGGTTTGACTCATTTCACCCATTATCTGACTATTTTTAAGTTAGTCTGCATAGGTAAAATTGGAATTTGAAGTAAACATCATTACTAATCTTAAGAGTTCAGTTCTGTTTAGTTTGTGCTTAGCTGACAAATTGCTACATCAGAATCCATGCCATAATAATTTAGGCTGCTCTACTAGCAAACAGCGAATGCTGCAGTGCCAAGTTAATGTGCTCTTCAATAGGCCTACTCTGAATCGAATATCAGGCCAACAGAATAACATTTACTAAAACTATATTATATTTCTTTGGGAAATAGCACAGTATGATAAACAACATGACCATATATTATTATGTTACGGTACTTTATTTGTTTGACTACTGGTCACTTTTCTGCGGTTCGTCTGACGCTGCTTCTGAATCTCTCTCCGGCCGGTGAGGTTATTGTTAAGTGTTCCGTATAAAAAACTTTGTTATGTCCATAATAACTTCAGCCGGTTAGCCAGTAAGCTTGGTACGACGACGGTGAAACATACATCAGCCCGCCAGCCCCTGATGACATCGACGAAGAAGATTTATATTCTTCTTCGTTAGTTTTTATTGGCAGTTGGCAAACAAGGTGAGTGATGCGCGATGCATTACCGTCCGCCACCACGCACGGTAATATAGCTTTTGTTTAATTTTTTGCCGCTCCAGTCAGGAAGACTGAGAGGAAATGAAACAAAGTTGAAGTTATTTAAAAAAAACTAAAAGATTCGGGGCTTTTGACGAAACATTTGGGGCTTAAGCCCCATTATCCACCCCCCCCCCCCCCCCCCCCCGCTCCGCCCCTGGGTCAGGCTCTGGTTCAGCGAAATCTCGAATTCAGTGATGTCTCTCATTCCACATGTTGCCAGATCCCATTGATTTTCCCGAGATATTGAATAAAATGGATCAGTGGCGAAACTGCATCGAGTAAATGAAATAAAGAAAATAATTACGATTTAATTTGAAAATAATAAAACGTTGTTATAACAAATTTACAAAACAGAAAAAAGAACGACAACCCTAATCGACATAACAAAATGGACCTGGCAACACGAGCCAACGGCCCCGCCCCTCGTGCGCTTCAGAGGCCTGAAAAGATTGACTGAGAGGAAGTAACGTTATTCAGAGAAAACAGCTGAATGAAATACATCGCAGTGGAGTGTTTCTTACAAGAATCTTCAGTAAGTAATTTAATGCTTCCTTGCAGTGAATGGTTATGCTATTGTTGTTGTTGGCCTTCATGTCTAAAAAAAAAAGAGCTCTTTGAACCCCCGTTTTTTTGGTTTTCGTAAACGGCCATAAAATCTCCAAATCTCGCTGTTTTTCACTAATAATAATTGGAGAGCCGAACAAAGCCAAATCTGCGATTTTTTTTTTTTAAAAGCATCTTGTTTTAACGTGTTAAACTGTTTGAGAGTATTTAAAGGCGATTTCGTGTACGGTTTGTTCAATTCTTTCTTAAATTCTGTTTTAGTGCATGAGGTCAGTAAAAGCAGCGATCGGTGTTACAACAGAAGTAATTCATGGCAAACATCTAATCAACGACATACAACGTTAGGCCTTTGTTTAAATGCATAATGTTATCTTCCAATAAAAGGGTTTAGATGCTGCAGAAATTTTGTAGAAATGGAGCTGGATATTACAACAACAAAGTTTTTCAGTAGGCTACTTAAAGTTGTAAGTTAAGTTAACGTTATCCCCCAAGAAACTGTTTGTAGCTACTTTTGAAAAATCTTTAAATTAACAGATGTGGACGTGCACATTAAAATCGGGATGTTATTTTGATTAAAGATTACGAGGGCACGTGAATATATATATATATATATATATATATATTATTTATAGGGCAGCAACTAACGATTATTTTAATAATCGATTAATCTGTCGATTATTTTTTTCCGATTAATCAATGAATCGGATAAAAAAAAAAAACGAAAAAAAAAGCATTAATTTCCAACCCTTTATTCAAAAACAGAACTGACAGTGGAAAAAATCTTTCAAAAAATCAGAAAGTGCACAAACGGGTTGCTCCTTGAACATCCCTGAGCTGTTAAAGTAATAATAATAAATAATAAAACACAAAAAACATACACATGTATGCTTTACATATGCTTTTTTTAAATAAAGTGCTCAAAAATATGTATATTTTTGTTTAAAGGGACCTGAGCTGTCAGAACAATAAATAATTTATAAAAAATAAAGAAAAATACAAATCAGAAAACTTAACAGGATTTGTTTGAACGTCAGAACTTGTTCTCTACACTCACAGACGCACATCACATGCTCACAAACTCTCACGACTCACAGACGCACACACTCACAGACGCAGACATTCACAGACTTGTGTTTTTTTTTTTTTTTTTTTGTCAAATATGTTATCTTTAACAAAATGTTTAACATTTGACAAGCACATGCACACAAAAGACAAGTCTTGTGCAGTCGGATAATAGGTAATAATAATAGCAATAATAATAATTACAACAGAAGATAATATCTCTAGTCTATCCTAATATTAATTATAAATACAATGTATATAAAATATAAATACAATATAAAATAATATAAAAAACAAATACAATGGATTGACCACCTCATGGCGTATAAGGTAGGCATATTTTGCAGCTCATCCTTTCCGAGGATATAGTGAAGTTTCTCTGAGTCATTTAGAGTTAAGAATAAAAAATTCAGTGCTTGTAAAATTCCTTTGTAGTGGTACTTGGGACAGACAAGAGTGTTTTCATCTTCTGTCTATCTGATTCAAATCACAGTTTGCTAATTCAGTGGTAATAATTTAATTGTTGTTTTTATTTATATTGTTGTCCATTTATCGAACTTCCATGCCTCTTATATATTACTATGTACCAATTTACTAATGCTCAGACACACTCGGTCTCTTTCGTGCACTGTCGCTCGCGCACTGACACACTCGGTCTCTCTCGCGCACAAACCATAGACTGTTAAAAAAAATAGGCGCAAACACACTCGGTATCTTTCGCGCACTGTCGCTCGCGCGCAGACACACTCAGTCTCTCTCGCGCGTGGTGTCCAGTCCGGCGCCTCAAAGCTCTGCTCAGCACTCAACTTTTTTTTATACTCCAACATCTCCGCGACTTATTGATAGTCGCGCGACGCAACTAATCGATTATGAAATTCGTTGCCAACTTTTTTAATAATTGTTTTTTATCGATATATATATATATATATGTTAATTTTTTTAAAAATGGAAGCTTACTATCTACCACAAAATAAAAAAGGTAATTGCAACTTTGATATAAACTCAAAATTGTGAGTTATAAAGACAGATTTGCGAGTTATAAAGTTAGAATTGTGAGATAAATCCACAATTGACCGTTCGCAAAAGCCACGCCCCCTAGTTATTGTTACTACGCCCGTCAAACAAATGGTCAAACACGACCAGCGCGACAGATTGCCATGACGGGAAGAGGTATACCCGTGCGTGTCAGTGACCTTTTTTGGAGCAATACTCAGCGATATCCTCCAGATTGAGGCAAAAGGGGTTACAGTAGGGGTGGGCGGTATGGCCAAAATTGTGTTTCACGGTATGACTAATTTTATTTCACGGTAACGATATAGTTATGTATATACCGTAGTTTTTCTTGAAAAATCTACAAAAAGGACTTTGTATAATAAATAAACCCAAATACTTTAGAAATAAAAAGTACTTCACCTTGTTTGATTTTTCTTTTTCTTTTATTTGGTAAATTATTTGGTTAACTATTTTGATAGCTAAATATAGTAAACAAAACACACTCATCAACTTTTAGATGAACTACCCCCAACTGATTCATATTAAATACAACTCCTATCGGTGCAATTAAACTTTAAAAAAAGTGTTGCTGAATAATTTTTCAATCTCATGTTATTGCTTTACTTCATCAATCAGTTTATAATATCTGAATATTTTATATTGAACTATTTTATTCATAATAAATTAGTTACTTCCTTTTAATTTTGTAGGATATTAGTTATACTAGTAAGTACTGTTATTAGTGTTATATGGAGACCGTGCCATTATCCTTCTCAACGTTTCTCTGGCTCAGTGAAAAAGCGGACTAAATTGACCAAAATATTCTGCAAAATAATTTTTTCGCCTATTTTTTGCAATGTTTTGAAGTTGTTTACACAAACAAGCCACCAAATTACAATGAAATTTGAACTTAACTTTAAACGTAATGACCGTTATTGTGAAAAAGTGTCCCCATACAAAAGAAATAAAAGGATTTTGTTACAAATAAAATTATTAGGTTATAGTCACTCACTGCTCTATATGTAGTGATAAAAAAATAAATAGAATTTTGACTTTAAATCAAACAGACAGGACGGACACGCACTAATCCAAAGTACCAAATAGCTGTAACTTAAAGCACTTAGCACTTTGTACATGATGTATCTTAGTTAGATATTCAACTGCAGCAAGCCCACTGTTAATATGCCCAACAGACGCTTTGGGGTCAGCAGTGGTGTTAGACAAGGGGTGTTGGAGTTTTCCCCCCTTTTCCCTCCTTGCTTTTAAATTGTTTGCAGTCCGTGTCATGTCCACTGGCGCGGCGCAGAGTAGAGCGAGCGTTTTAAATTAATTCCTATGGAAGTTAAACTTCCATAGGTTTTTGGTGTGAATAAACATTGTTGCTTGTGAGACACCATTTGGACAAGATGGTAGCAATTGTTTTAAACGCAGTGGAGGTAATGGGTGGGGTGGGGTGGGGTGGGGGTGGGGGTACTTATGGTGGAAATGGTGTGAAATGGCAGGGGTAGAGACGACAGAAATCCTTTAATCTTAAGTGTTTGACTAAAACTTGTTTTGGTGTGGAAGGGAAGAGTCAGCAGTAACGATGAACCGGTACTAGAAATATATTGTGATACCTAGTTGTAGCCTTTTTTAAAGGGTTAGTTCACCCAAAAATGAAACTTCTGTCAGCGATTACTTATCCTCATGTTGTTCCAACCCCGTAAAACAGTAAAAACATCGTTAAAATAGTCCAAGTGACTACAGTGGCTCAACCTTAAGTTTATCAAGCGACGATGTTTTTACTAACTTTTGGGCTGGCAAGTTTCAATTACAATAGAAGCATATGGAGGAGTGATATGGAGCGAATTATGTACCAAAACCTCACACACACACAAAACGTGTTTTACTCACACCCAATGATTCACCCAATACGTTACAAATTACATTTTTGGGCATGTATTCTGTAACGAAATAGAACACTGCCTACAGCTGAGGAAAATGAGCGGTGAACAAGTGTGTTTCTGTCTTACTTTATCTAATTAACCTTATTGAGGTTTTCTTTTGCAAAATGTTTATTACATCTAGACAAAAATCCATATTACCGCTAGTAGCACTTCACTCTCTCTAGGATAGGGGAATCTAAGCTGAAAGCTCTATCATATGTTGCTTAAAAAAAAAAAAAAAATCTACATAAGACGCGTGTGAAATTACTAAATTAGTGATTATGTACACTGAACGAATTTATTTCTTTCGTTCTCCATAAATTAATGAGAACATTTAATTTAATTGAAAGGAGGGTTTCATTTGTCTGTCCAAAATAATAATTTGGGCAATACGTCACAGGGAAGTTAAGAGACAAATGTATATTGTTTGTTCTGTTCATTCATTATTTTATTACATTAACAGTTACACTGACTGAATTCCAACTAAATTAATGAATAAGTTGGACCCTTTCAATTAAATGAAATGTTCTCATTAATTTATGGAGAACGAAAGAAATAGACTCATTCAGTAAATGAAACGTTTTTACAAAAATGTAAAAAGCAACATGATGGCAGAGCTTTCAGTTTATAGATTCCCTTATCCTAGAGTGGAGTGCTACTAAGTGCTAATGTGGATTTCTGTCTATATCTATAATTTACCTTATTGAGGTTTTGGTAAATGTTTATTATAAAGTAAGACAGAAACACACCTGTTCACCGCTCATTTTCCCATGGGCAAAGGCAAGCACGCGTTTCACATCAGTGTTTCTCCCGAGAGACTAGCGCGAAATTGATCCCCTATCTTAGCGCCATCTACTGTTCTAGAAGAGGAAGTTGCTCAACTGCACTTGTGAGAAAATCTGCCTGGACGCGGAAAAATAGTGTCAAAAGTCACGTGACAGTTTTTCGTACTTGTAGAATTTTGTTTTGTACTTGTAGAATTTTGCTTTGTACTTGTAGAATTTTGCTTTGTACTTGTAGAATTTTGCTTTGTACTTGTAGAATTTTGCTTTGTACTTGAAGGTTTTTGTTTTGTACTTGTAGAATTTTGTTTTGTACATGAAGGTTTTTGTTTCGTACTTGTAGAATTTTGTTTTGTACTTGAAAGATTTTAGTTTGTACTTGGATGATATTTTTGTCATTGAAGAAATACGTTTCTATGTATATGTAAAACATACTGTATTTGTTTGATAGGTACGTTTTTAATTTGCGGAACAATATGCATTAGTTTGTGAGTGATGTTTTGTATTTACAAACCACATTGAGTTTGTTTGTGAATCATTGGGTGTGAGTAAAACACGTTTTGTGTGTGTGTGAGGTTTTGGCACATAATTCGCTCCATAGAGTGTGACAGCTCTCAGATTTAATCAAAAATATCTTAATTCATGTTCCGAAGATGAACGAAAGTCTTACGGGGTTGGAACAACATGAGGGTGAGTAATTACTGACAAAATTTTCATTTTTGGGTGAACTGACCCTTTAAATATTTGTTTAATGGCATCTTTTTATGAAAGAAGACATCCCCAATAATGCCACTTATTGCCTCTATTAGATTGATTTCTCCCCACCCCTCCCTCCCTCCCTCAATTTTAGCCATTAATTATAGCCATTCAGAACTGAAGAATTAGCCTAATTAATAACAATTTTTGAACTCTGTCTTCTATTTAATTGTTTTTCTGGTTATAGATTTTTGCCATGGTATTGGTATCAAGATATTTTAGTCGAGTATCAAAATAATATTGGTATCGTGAAAAGTATTTTGTACCCTAATATTTTGTTTTGGTTTCTTTTTTTTTCAGGGATGTGAATATCCCACCCCTTCAGGAGATAAAAGTGAACATTCATTAGCATGCAAGCTAATTCACAACAATCAGGACAACTGCAAAATTTGCATGAAAAAGGGACCACACCTGGAGATGGGACATCTAATACTTTGGGCCAAAACTTTTATCAGCTATGTTTACCATCTCACGCTGCAAGCCCCTCCTATCAAGGACAGGGGACCACTGGAAATTATTTGACACAGTTCACCTGCACAATCCAACCGGCAACCAGTGACCAGATTTTGACTAGCAGCATTCAAGCTACCAAAGACACAATGCTTGCACAAGAAAAACCTCTTACTTCAAAATATACGTTGCCGACAGGAAAACAGGACTCGCAGATGATTCTGTGGAACATTCCCTCTAATTACCAGATATTCTTACCTGTTAAAAACATAAATCTACAGGGTGCTCCCAACAATAATGGGCCAAACATGTCACATGGCTACAATTACCAGTCATTTGTTCCTGATAAGTTAACCCATGCTAATGTGCAAACACCTTCTACATGTGGTCAGAACATTGCTGCACAGAGAGCTGTTGCCGTTGTCACGCCATTATCACCGATAGGAACAGCACCTGTTAATGTTTCAGACAAATCTGCTAATATGAAAATGAATGTAAGGTCTGTGCAAGAGGTTGTATGGCATCAACCAAATATTCCACATGCTTTGGAGACCAATGCTAAACTGAATAACCAAAAAGGAGAACCAATTGACCCAACAAGCAAGCATCAACGGCCGAAGTCAGCAGAGCCGAGACTGAATGATGGACTTTGCCATGTTGAAGCCAAAAGTCCCATTTGGACTGATGAATCAACTGACCAAAGTCGCCGCAAAAGTTCACCGAAGCTTAAAAGTGTGGTTGCAGAACAAAAAATGTCTATGCCAACTCAAATGCAAAATGAAACGAGTGAAAAGATAAACAATAACTGCACATTCACAGACAAGAAAACTGCTGAAACTGAAACCATTCCTGTTATCGAATGGCCAATAGATCGATTGCACACCTTAATAGCCATGATTCAGCAAATAGAAAACGGGCATCAGAAGAATGTCCAAAAAACTGATGCTGGGAGGGACATCTTAAAGCTTTTTTGGAATGGGGATTTCCATAAGTTTTATAATGCTGTACAAACTGGTACATATCGAAGCATAATGGAAGAAGTCTATGTTTACTGTCCGATGACAGAGCCTGTGATACTGAGGCAAATTAAAAGTGATGCTCGTAGCAGAGTCAACAAGGATTTTCACGTTTTAAAACACAACGAAGAGCCACCGAAGATGACATATAAGTCGTCTTGGTTAAATCTTAATGAAAATGTTGATGACATCGAGAAGGAGTGTGGTTATTCTTGGTTCTATAAGTCCTTTCAAAATGCCCCTGACCACGAAGCACAAAACTCAAATGGTTGCACAAAGGAGGCACAAAAGGTTGAGAACAAAATACCAGCAGAAGAACCAACATTAGACAACGAGTGTCTTCATGAAAGCTTGTTTAATAGACAATCTCCACCTGTGACTGATGCTGACTGCTCACCAACGCGTGATTGTTTGGTTGCAGGAGAAACCAACAGTCAAACAAATACAAATTCTGTAAAGGACATGATTACTGTTGTGAAGGATTTGGATAAAAAAGATGTCCAGACTCAAATGGCCAGTTCGGATGACAAATTTAGTAATGATGTTGGAGCCCAAAGTGTTTTGTCGCCTAAATCAACCAGCCAAAGTGACTGCACGAACTCACCAAAGCTCAATAATGTGGTAGCAGAACAACCGCATGAAATAGCTGAACAGTGTGAGACTAGTGAGATGATGGAACATAATGTCATTGCTGCATCACCAGACAAGCATGAGACATCTTTCTTAAACACATCCCCAGAAATTAACAAAGTACAAGTAGAAGAACAAACATCTTTAGAGAAAAATATGTACAATGAGAGTCTTTGTGAAAAATTGCCAGTTCACTTTAATGCTCATTCTCCAACTGTGACTGATAACTGCTCACTGAAGCTTAATTTGGTTGAAGAACAAACCAGTCACCAACCAAATACTATAAATCCACTAAATGGAATAATTAATCTGGTAAAGACATTGAAAGAACGTGATTATTTAATGAAGTGTCAAAAGTTATATGATAAACGCAGTGGTTTGAAAAGAAAGCCTCAACACTTCTCTAGAACATTAAGACCGAACAATCGTTTTTGTAATGGTGTTGGAGCCAAAAGTCCCGTGTTGACCAGTGAATCATCCAGCCAAATTGTCTGCAGGAGTCTTAGTCATGTAGTTGAAAAACAACTGGATTTTGTGTTAACTCAAGTGCAAAATGAATCCAGTGAGTCTGATAACGGTGTAAGATGTGAGATGAATCCAAAACCTAGTGAAGAACTTTCTGTGCAAATGGATGAAGAGGAGATAGCAGAGATGGATGCTTCAGCTTCTATTAGGATTAATGTTCTCCCTCATGAAGTGGCTGAACAATGCTTTGCTGGTCAGTTGATGGAAGTTAAAGACATCGCTGCAACACCAGAGATGAGGTTGGAAGAGGCTGATGCTAACTGCCCGCTGAAGGGCTATGAGGTTGTGGAACAAATCAATTGTCCATCAAATGCAATGAATCCACTGAAGGTCATGACGCATCTGGTGAGGGGAGTGGGAGAAAAACGGCAAATTGGAAAATGTGACGTTTTGAAAAACAAGCATCAACCCTCAACTACAACATCAAGGCTGGTTGACCGTTTTTGTAATGGAGCCAAACGTCCGGCGTTGACTGGATCAACCAGTCAAATTTACTGCTCAGGTCCACCGAAGCTTCATCCTGTGATTGCAGAACCATCTCAAATGCAATTCAATGAAGAAATACCTGAAATTGACTGTGTACTCACAGATGAGGGTGTGAGATGTGAGACTGATCCAAAATCTAGTCAAGAACTTCCTGTGCAAAAGGATGAAGAGGAGATTGTCGAGATGGATGCTGCAGCTTGTATTAGGATTAATGTTCTCCCTCAGGAAGTGGCTAAACAATGCTTTGCTAGTCAGTTGATGGAAGATCAAGACATTGCTGCACCACCAGAGATAATGCATAAGACCTCTTTGTTATATACACCTCAAGACACCATCTCAACAAAAGAACAGCACATGTGGAGGTTGGAAAAAGCCAATGGTAACTGTTCATCAGAGGGAAATTTGGTTGCAGAACAAACCAATTGCCAATCAAATATAGCACATCCACTGAAAGCCATGACGCATCTGGTGAGGCTGGTGGGAGAACAACACCAAACTGAAAAATGTGAGATTTTGAAGAATGAGCATCAGCTTGCAAATGCAACATCAAAGATGGATGACCGTTTTTGTAATAAAGCCAAATGTTCTGTGTTGACAACTGGATCAACCTGCCAAATTGAATATACCAGTCCACCGAAACTTAATCCTGTGATCGCAGAACCATCTCAAATGCAAAATGAATTTAACAAAGAAATGCCTGACATTGACTATATGCTCAACGATGAGAGTATGAGATATGAGACTGATCCAAAACCTAGTCAAGAACTTGTTTTGAAAACAAATGAAGTGGAGACTGACAAGATGGACGCTTTAGACTCTATTAAGATCAATGTTCTCCCTCATGACATGGCTGAGCTATGGTTTGCTGGTGAGATGGAAGGTAAGGATTTGCAGAAAGACATTAATGTTCATATTACCACCGAGGACCAGGTTAAAGTTCAAGTCCTAGAGCTCATGTCTGAAAAAGAATTACTCCTAGAAGATGTGAAGCCAAAAGAGGGTAAATATCAAAGTTCTAGTGGTGAAAAGTTGGAGTCTTACTGTTGTCTTGCTAAATGGTTTAAAACTTTAGAATATGGAGATGGCTCATTGTGTACATGCCAGAGAAAAGCAGAGTTCAGAGAAGAGACTAAAACTGAGGTCCACGGCGCAAGTTTAGAGTTGCAGACTGAAAAGGAGGATCTTAACGAATTAGTGGAACTGGACAATTCTGCTGATGATTCTGAAACAACAGATGATTCTGAAACCACAGAGGACGAAGTTCCCAGTAGGATCGTTTGGAAAGGGGTTAAGAAAAAAATTCTGAAGGACATATCAAGTTCTGAAGAGGTTTGTAGCATGGAGACTGAATTTGCAGAGCAGACAAGAGATGACTCCCCTTCAAAATGTGCAACAAATGTGACCATGAAAAATGAGATTGAGCAAGACACCCCAACTCCTGATTTGAAAAGGACGACCAATACTATTTGTCTTGCACTGTATGGGTCATCTTCTGGAAGAAAAGAAGTGAAGCTAACTAAAAGATCTAAAGGGAAAGAAAGTTGTGAAGAACCCCCAGAAACTCTTCAAATAACTATACTCTCTCATCAGAAGATTAAGCCAACGAATTGCAAAGGGGTGGAAGCACAGGATGAAGATGTTGTGGATAAGAGAGCGAGACTACAAAAAGCATCCTTCAAAGACCTGGCTCTTCATAGAACCTTGCCCTCACATCCTATTTCTGAACTCCGCAAAAATGCACTTTCATCTACCTCAATCAAAAAACTGCTTGGTCCAAGTGCTAATGCAAAAAGTGGCGTCTGTTTGGGTAAGGGAAACAAGCGAAAGAGACTGCCTAAGTTATTGACGCAACAAATGTCTATGAATAAATATGTCATCAGAAGGAAGACTGCGCCATCCAAACTATTGCATTCAGCCGAGAACATAACAAAAAGTAAATACGAGTTGGGGAACCCTGCTTTGATGCCATTGGAGGAGGGTCTTTCATTGGAATTCAAAGTATTGCCAGAGTCTTTTAACTTTGAAGATGGAGCTGAACTCAATTGCGCTCAAGCCGACACGGCACAGAGTTCACAAAATGGTAACTGCTGAAAATATATACTCTCAGTGCATGTAAGTTTACCAAATGTACACTTTTTAAAATTCTTGTTTCCTTTTCTTAAGGGATGTCAGGCCCAGAAGATCAAGTTAAGCAGATGGAAACTAATTGTTCGCCAACACAAGGTATTAGACACAGGATTTATGTTCATTTAATATGTAGTAAATTTGTATTAGCCTCTTATGAAGTTAAAGCTCATTCCTTTTGAATAATGATTAATAAACATAATGGTAAAAGCAAATATCCAATAATCGCAGGTTAGTGTTAGTTCTTAAGCCTAACCAGGGTATATTGTGAGAATTGAACCCTGTATCTGCCTATCATGTACCATTTTATGGGAGGTAGTGTAACACTCATCTAAATGGTTTTGTGCTTGTCTATCTGCAGGTGTTTGGAGTTTCAGCCCCTTGAAGAAAAAGCGCACTCAGCCCATCCAGGTCACAGACGTCTCCGGCACATGTAGCCTCTTCCAGGAGTTTAAGAGGAGATATCATAAAAAGAAGGAAATCGCCCCAAAGTAGAATTCCAATGAAAGACCTTGATTCCTTATTAAAATTTAAGCAAATTGTTCCTTTTGTTTTGTGTTACTTCCTGTTAATAGGATGACTCTAACAAATGCAAATTGCTAAATAGACTGATTCATTTTTACTGTGTACTTGAAGTTTTGTATTATATTATAAATGCACCACTTGCACACTGATCATACAGTTCAACAGCTGCTAGTAACAATGTTCTCCAGTATTTGTACGAGTGTGAGTTTTATACTTTTACTACATTTTCAAGAAACATGTTTGTCATGGAGGTACTTTTTTTTTTATGGTGCTTTTATTTTGATTCCACTTGTTTGTAAAAATTTGACAATCTATTTTTGTACAATTTAATTTTATTGCTTTTTAATAAAACCATTTTGTAATACCTTTTGTGGTTACTCCTGGATTTTAAGGTTTGTTATGCCATGATTTACTGAAGTCGGTGATTAATACAAGTAAACAATACAAAATATTTTCATAAATTAGCTTTAAATATTCAACATACATTCACAGAAATAATGGCTAACCCAAATTAAAAATAGGAAATATACATTTGAAATTTGGAATACTTTAACGTTAATACAAAACTTTTTAAAAAACAGAAGGGGGAAAATCATAGACTGTAAAAAAAAAATAGGGAAAAATAAACTAAGCTTTTTGCTTTGTCGCTTGTGAATGACGTAATACTATTATTGTGTCCCGCCCACGGTGATGCACGCGAATGAGAGCAAACCAAAACAATGTGGCGAGTGACGAAGATGCCAGATAGATAGACAGTCGATGCTGTTAACAAACAAGAAAAAAATTATCGTATTTTCCTCGTGATATCCTAGCGGTTAGATAAACAACGCGGAAAGCGACCAAATCATGGCTACCGTAGATTCTCTTATGAGCTTGTGAGTAACACACAGCTACTAGATAAATATGTAGAGCTGTAAAACTATTGACACAATTCCTTCTGCTCATTTTATAGCATGAATTCCAAGTCTGTGAGTGATACAAATGTTTCTCCGTGCACAGGTGTGCTTTTATTGTTGCACAGCAGTGTGAGAAGTATGATGAGATCAGGATGTTACCTGCTGCCGTTAAAGACAGATTATTACGAATAAAGATGTCGTCTGGCACGGTCACCGACTCCAACATCAGCCAGGTAAGGTGTCCTCTCTGACAAGAGCATTTTGTGATGATAATATGCAGTGTACAATATGCAGTGTCTTTGCTTGGGTGTGTGATTTGTGTTTCAGCTCGTGCACGCTGGAACTCACACACTGGATCTGCTGAACTGCATGGTGTCAGACTCTGCGCTTAAACAAATCAACTGTCTGCAGTTGAGGACAATACTGTTAAAAGGCTGTGCAGAAATCACATCTGAGGGTATTCTTTTCACAGATTAATTGTTTATGGGGGTCATATAAATATTAGATGAAAAACGTAAAATACTTTGAAAACTAGTCCCCAGTTTCACAGACAAGGCTTAAGCTAGTCCTAGACTAAAATGCATGTTTGAGCTGTTTTAACTGAAAAGCAACCTGCACTGACATTTCTTAAAATGTCGGTGCCATTGTTGTCTCAAAAAGCACACCAGTAATGTTTTTCTCTAAGGCATGTTTATAAAAGCAACTTAAATATTCTAATTAGAACTAAGGCCTAATCTAAGCCTTGTCTGTGAAATCAGGCTTAGAAATTTTGCCTTGGTGACTAACAGAAATACATTTCAGTTGAAGTACTATTACTAAAATGAAAACTGAAATAAAAATAAATGAAAGTTATGTAGATTTTATTTTTTAAATGCTAAAAATGCACATTGAAAAATTACTTAAATGGAATTGGTCAAGACATCAACCTTCACTATATTTGTCTTTCCCACAGGTGTAGAGGTGTTGGCGTCCCGCTGCCCCTGTCTTCAGGTAGTTGATCTCACAGGCTGTACGGCTGTGACAGATTCAGGGATTCAAGCTCTGGCTTTACACTGCAAATGTTTAGAAGTGATTTCGCTCCGTGGCTGCACTGCTCTCAGTGATAAAGCCCTGCTGGAGCTGGGGACGAACTGCAGAAGGCTGCACAGCATTTACTTTTCTAGGACAAAGGTAATTTACACTGTTCTTGGGCTTTCAGACTTGGATATACTATATTACAGATGAGCCAAAACATTATGACCACCTCCCTAATTTGCAGTTGGTCCTCTGCGTGCTGCCAAAACAGCTCCGACCCGCTGAAGAATGGACTCTACAAGACCCCTGAAGGTGTCCTGTGGTCTCTGATATTAGCAGCAGATCCTTAAAGTCCTGTAGGTTGCGATGTGGAGCCGCTGCGGATCAAACCTGTTGGTTCTGCACATCCCACAGATCCTCAATTGGATTCATAATTTTAATTCATCATCACATTTATAATTCATCACATTTATATAGCGCTTTTCTGGACACTCAAAGCACTTCACATAGAAGGGGCAATCTCCTCAACCACCACCAATGTGCAGCATTCACCTGGATGATGCGACGGCAGCCATATTGCGCCAGAAACGCCCACCACACACCAGCTTACTGGTGGAGAGGAGACAGAGTGATGAAGCCAATCAGTGTATATATATATGGGGATGATTAGGAGGCCATGATGGACAGAGGCCACTGGGCAAATTTGGCCAGGATGCCGGGGTTACACCCCTACTCTTTCGAAAGACATCCTGGGATTTTTTGTGACCACAGAGAGTCAGGACCTCGGTTTAACGTCTCATCCGAAGGACAGTGCTCAATTGACAGTATAGTGTCCCCATTACCATCCTGGGGCGTTAGGACCCACACCTCTTCCAGCAGCAACCTGGTTTTCTCAGAAGGTCTCCCATCCAGGTACTGACCAGGCTCAGCCCTGCTTAGCTTTAGTGGGCAACCAGTCTTGGGCTACAGGGTGATATGGCTGCTGGTGATATGGCTATGGATTCAGATCTGGGGAATTTGGAGGCTTGTCGTCCCACAGGCTGGTCGTCCTCCCACAGTGCATCCTGGCACCATCACTTCCCCAGGTAAACGGCACACACGTACACGGCCGTCCAAGTGATGTAAAAGAAACCGAGACTCATCGGACCAGGGGTTCTTCTTCCTCTGCTTCAAGGTCCAGTTCTGACGCTCGCGTGCCCATTGTAGCCGCTTTCGACGGTGGACATCATAGGCACACTGATTGGTCTGTGTCTACGCAGCAAAGTGTGATGCACTGTGTGTTGTGACGCATTCATCCCATAACCATCATTAACATTTACACAGTAGATCTTCTGTTGGCTCGAACCAGACGGGATAGCCTCCGTTTCCCTCGTGCATCGATGAGCCTTTGGCGTCCAACACCCTGTCGCTGGTTTGTGGTTCATCCCTCCTCGGACACTGTTGGTAAATTCTCAGCACTGCTGACTGAGACCAACTCAAAAGCCTTGACGTTTCAGAGATACTCTGACCCAGTCGACTTGCCATAACAATTTGGCCCTTGTCAAAGTCGCTCAGATCTTTATTCCTGCCCATTTCTCCTGCATCCAAAACGTTGATTATGAGAACTGATTGTTTGTTACATCTAATCTCCCCAGATCTTAATATGTGGCCTTGTTAGGAGATGATCATTGATATTCACTTCACCTGTGACTGCTCATAATGTTTTGGCTCATCAGTGTATATAGCATATACCAAAATCAAAATGGGACTCTGACATTTTGCTTGTACTCATTGATGTTTATTGTTTTCACCAAATACTTACTAGTAAATTCTATTTAAAGGTAACTGATCAAGGGGTCATTGGACTTGCGACAGGAGTTTGTTCACATAGCCTTAAGGTATTGCATACTGATTAGAATTTTTTTCATTAAGACTATTTTAATTTTTTATTATTATTTATTAATAACTTATTTATCATCACAGGAGTTACAGATGGTACAATGTCACAATTTGACTGATCTGGCTGTGACTGCTGTTCTTGCAAACTGTGCAAACATCAGAATTTTCAATTTCCATGGATGTCCCCTGATGACAGGTAGTCACATGGTACCTGACATAAAACACCCCAAATATGCCCAAATATGAAATTTCAGTGCAATTTTTGCCCAAATATGAAATTTCAGTGCATTCATACCTGCTATGTGTCTGTTTTAGATGAGTCAAGGGAGGCACTACAAAACCTTATTGGCCCCGACAAGATCCGACAAGTTTCTTGGACTGTGTACTGAATGTGATTAACTGAACTGAACTGATCTACAGCACACCAACTTTATTGTCATACATGTAATGCACACATCCAGGAATATAAACATCATCCTTTTTTAAATTGACTAAATTGTCAATGTTTGAGGTATAAAAAAAAAGATAAAATCTGTTTTACAGCGTTTGCATTGGAAATTGTTATTACTTACTGTAATAACTTACTGTATTTAACATTAAATATACAATTATGTAAGAATGTTTTGTTTACTGATTGTAAAATAAATTGTAAACCAACCATTTGACGTTGGTTGTCAACTTTTATTTACTATTTCTAGAATGAGATTGAAGTCTGAATTTGACTAAATCCATTATGCTGATGTATTTGTGAGGATTATTTAATTATTTTGTGCTTAGATCATTCAGGGTAGTTAACTGCTCTTTTCTGCATTCTGCAAAGAAGAAATTGTTTGCTCTTTTTCTGCAAAGAAGAATGTGATTTATTCAAATAAAATGAGGAACTGCTACTGTCAACCACATGTTAAAATAAAATTAAGAGGCATTTGAAAGAGGTGATTGAAAACCATAATAGACTGCCCATATACTTTTTGGTCAGAATTCACATGGGTTCAATTTGATTCATGCGGCTGTCTTGAGTGTTTTATAAAAAAAAAAAAAAAAAAATATCATTGCATAAAGAACTACTTCTTCATCCCTCTGAAAATGTAAGGTGTTTTTATATTTATTTGTATTTTTTTATTTTTAACCAACTTATTTTTATAACTTAAACTGGTTAAATAAATTTTTGTAACATTTGTTATTATTCACTGAGTTATATATTTTATTTACAATCATAATTTAAAATAGAGATAAGTTCCTTGTATAGAACCTGTGTGTGTGTGTGTGTGTTTCAGGTATTCCCTGAGCAAAATTTGTCCCATGAGCATGAGCAAATATATTTATTTATATTTTTTGAAAATGTAAAAAACGCAGAAAGTTTTCTGTGAGGGTTGTGTTTAGGTGTACGGGACAGGATATACAGTTACAGTACAAAATCATTATGTCTATAGAAACCCCCATAAACATGCTGGTCTCTACACACACTGCTGTGACTGTCACACCATTTAGTCCCTAAAACAAACGTTTTTAAATTGGCCGTAACCTTTTGGGGGGATACGAAAAGGTCCTGTTTGTCACACTACGTTTGCGAATTTGCTTTGTTTTGCAAATATATTGAACCAGTTTACAACCGCAGGGGCATCCAAAGAATGCAGAATGTGTTGTCATTAGAAATCTGATGTGGGGTGCGCATCTGTTCCCCATGGGATTGCGCTGTGCGGTGATCTCATACCTGTGTCTCTGTCTCTATCTCTCTAAGAAACACTCAACTTTTCAACTTTTAAGATTTTCAACTTTCAACTTACTGCATTTTGTAAACCACACCATTCAACGCATTTCCAATGCCGCGTAAGGATCTAGGCATCTAGCTCTTTTTTCTTTTCTCATTTGTCTAGCTTCTTCTCTTCCTTCTCATGTAGTCTCCTCTCTTAATTGCAGTTCAATTTTTCGGTAGCCCTTTATTTTACAGTGGCCTTGTTACACGTTACATATAGTTACTATAGTAATAACTATAAAGTATCCGTAATTACTGTGTGTGTGTGATTCATCCTTAATTTCATTATTAGAAAACCTCTTTTTTCTCACTTCCACTGTCCCCAGAAATCCCCCTGAGATGGAATGCGGATGCAGCTGCATGTGGCACACAGACCCAAACTGATGTCAGAGCTCAAAAATAACCCTCATGACTAACATCATAACATGTCAAAGTTAAAAAATTAATCAATGGACATATTATACTCACGAGGTCATAGACATTCCAATTAGTCAATTGTCATACATCATTTTCATCCCCGGAGGATACCCAAGGTCAAAGGCGACACCGGGGTGGAGGGGTCAAGGTCATCGCTAGGGCACGACTTGGGTGGTCCGGGGGCGGGGCAAAAAAGGTCAAGAGGTCACCCCAGGTCAAGAGGTCACCACCAATCATAGGGTCATCAATCATTTTGACACATGCCGAATCTTAACACTACTCAGGATCTGTGCCAGATGCATGTTAACATTGTGATGGTTGACATGTTAAAAGTGTTTTCCAGGTAGAAAAGATGAATTGGCTTATGATTTTGAAATTCACTCTCTATCATACATAAAGAAAAAAAATGAGAGAAAAAACGAATTATGTATGTGTGATGGATTTTTAATAGATAAGATAGTAAACTATGTTTTAGAATTAACCATGTTTCTGACTCTAAAAATCTGACTGTAAGATTATCTAACCTTATGATAAACTTTTACCTGACTTCCCCTTTGGGTCTAATATTATGACTAACTCTTACCTGATTTCCCCTTCTAGATCTAACAATGGGGGGGCTTGCTTTACCAACTGAACCAATCATATTGATAGAAGGTGACATGTTAGTCACGCTGATCTTATTTTGATGTGTCTGTCTTTATCCTATAAAACCTGATGTAGGCCTATTCTTCTTTTTGGGTGAGATTCTCTGAGAATTGCTTGAGAACTCTCCCGGCCGTGATAAAAGCATTCAAGGGACATTTGCTGGAGTCTGTGTTTTATTGCAGCACGTTAGTAAAGGGAACAAGTTAGAGAATAGGATTAGCACCCAGCCGACGTCGATGTGTAGACACAGTAGGGTATAGGGTTAGACTCGGCCGACGTCGATGTGTAGATACGCTAGGGTATAGGGTTAGACTCGGCCGACGTCGAAGTGTAGGCGTTCTAGGTTATAGGGTTAGACTCGGCCGACGTCGATGTGTAGACGCACTAGGGTATAGGGTTAGACTCGGCCCGACGTCGAAGTGTAGGCGCGCTAGGGTATAGGGTTAGACTCGGCCCGACGTCGATGTGTAGACGCACTAGGGTATAGGGTTAGACTCGGCCGACGTCGATGTGTAGACGCACTAGGGTATAGGGTTAGACTCGGCCGACGTCGATGTGTAGGCGTTCTAGGTTACAGGGTTAGACTCGGCCGACGTCGATGTGTAGACGCACTAGGGTATAGGGTTAGACTCGGCGAACGTCGATGTGTAGACGCACTAGGGTATAGGGTTAGACTCGGCCGACGTCGAAGTGTAGACGCATTAAGGTATAGGGTTAGACTCGGCCGACGTCGATGTGTAGACGCACTAGGGTATAGGGTTAGACTCACCCGACGTCGATGTGTAGACGCACTAGGGTATAGGGTTAGACTCGGCCGACGTCGATGTGTAGACGCACTAGGGTATAGGGTTAGACTCGGCCGACGTCGATGTGTAGACGCACTAGGGTATAGGGTTAGACTCGGCCGACGTCAAAGTGTAGGCGCACTAGGGTATAGGGTTAGACTCGGCCGACGTCGAAGTGTAGACGCATTAAGGTATAGGGTTAGACTCGGCCGACGTCGATGTGTAGACGCACTAGGGTATAGGGTTAGACTCACCTGACGTCGATGTGTAGACGCACTAGGGTATAGGGTTAGACTCGGCCGACGTCGATGTGTAGACGCACTAGGGTATAGGGTTAGACTCGCCCGACGTCGATGTGTAGACGCACTAGGGTGTAGGGTTAGACTCGGCCGACGTCGAAGTGTAGGCGCGCTAGGTTATAGGGTTAGGCTCGGCCGACGTCGATGTGTAGACGCACTAAGGTATAGGGTTAGACTCGCCCGACATCGATGTGTAGACGCACTAGGGTGTAGGGTTAGACTCGGCCGACGTCGATGTGTAGACGCACTAGGGTGTAGGGTTAGACTCAGCCGATGTCGATGTGTAGACGCACTAGGGTACAGGGTTAGACTCGGCCGACGTCGATGTGTAGACGCACTAGGGTACAGGGTTAGACTCGGCCGACGTCGATGTGTAGACGCACTAGGGTGTGGGGTTAGACTCGGCCGACGTCGATGTGTAGACGCACTAGGGTGTAGGGTTAGACTCAGCCGACGTCGATGTGTAGACGCACTAGGGTGTAGGGTTAGACTCGGCCGACGTCGATGTGTAGACGCACTAAGGTATAGGGTTAGACTCGGCTGACGTCGATGTGTAGACGCACTAGGGTATAGGGTTAGACTCGGCCGACGTCGATGTGTAGACGCACTAGGGTATAGGGTTAGACTCGGCCGACGTCGATGTGTAGACGCACTAGGGTATAGGGTTAGACTCGGCCGACGTGTAGACGCATTAGGGTGTAGGGTTAGACTCGGCCGACGTCGATGTGTAGATGCACTAGGGTGTAGGGTTAGACTCGGCCGACGTCGATGTGTAGACGCACTAGGGTATAGGGTTAGACTCGGCCGACGTCGATGTGTAGATGCACTAGGGTGTAGGGTTAGACTCGGCCGACGTCGATGTGTAGACGCACTAGGGTATAGGGTTAGACTCGGCCGACGTCGATGTGTAGACGCACTAGGGTATAGGGTTAGACTCGGCCGACGTCGAAGTGTAGACGCACTAGGGTGTCGGGTTAGACTCGGCCGACGTCGATGTGTAGACGCACTAGGGTATAGGGTTAGACTCGGCCGACGTCGATGTGTAGACGCACTAGGGTATAGGGTTAGACTCGGCCGACGTTGATGTGTAGACGCACTAGGATATAGGGTTAGACTCGGCCGACGTCGATGTGTAGACGCACAAGGGTGTAGGGTTAGACTCGGCCGACGTCGATGTGTAGACGCACTAGGGTATAGGGTTAGACTCGGCCGACGTCGATATGTAGACGCACTAGGGTGTAGGGTTAGACTCGGCTGACGTCGATGTGTAGACGCACTAGGGTATAGGGTTAGACTCGGCCGACGTCGAAGTGTAGGCGCGCCAGGGTGTAGGGTTAGACTCGGCCGACGTCGATGTGTAGACGCACTAGGGTATAGGGTTAGACTCGGCCGACGTCGAAGTGTAGGCGCGCTAGGGTGTAGGGTTAGACTTGGCCGACGTCGATGTGTTGACGCACTAGGGTATAGGGTTAGACTCGGCCGACGTCGAAGTGTAGACGCACTAGGGTATAGGGTTAGACTCGGCCGACGTCGAAGTGTAGGCGCGCCAGGGTATAGGGTTAGACTCGGCCGACGTCGAAGTGTAGACGCACTAGGTTATAGGGTTAGACTTGGCCGACGTCGATGTGTTGACGCACTAGGGTATAGGGTTAGACTCGGCTGACGTCGAAGTGTAGGCACGCCAGGGTGTAGGGTTAGACTTGGCCGACGTCGATGTGTTGACGCACTAGGGTATAGGGTTAGACTCGGCCGACGTCGAAGTGTAGACGCACTAGGTTATAGGTTTAGACTCGGCCGACTTCGAAGTGTAGACGCGATAGGGTTAGACTCGGCCGACGTCGATGTGTAAACGCACTAGGGTATAGGGTTAGACTCGGCCGACGTCGAAGTGTAGGCGCGCCAGGGTATAGGGTTAGACTCGGCCGACGTCGAAGTGTAGGCGCGCCAGGGTGTAGGGTTAGACTTGGCCGACGTCGATGTGTTGACGCACTAGGGTATAGGGTTAGACTCGGCCGACGTCGAAGTGTAGACGCACTAGGTTATAGGGTTAGACTCGGCCGACGTCGATGTGTAGACGCACTAGGGTGTAGGGTTAGACTCGGCCGACGTCGAAGTGTAGACGCACTAGGGTGTAGGGTTAGACTCGGCCGACGTCGATGTGTAGACGCACTAGGGTATAGGGTTAGACTCGGCCGACGTCGAAGTGTAGGCGTGCCAGGGTGTAGGGTTAGACTTGGCCGACGTCGATGTGTTGACGCACTAGCGTATAGGGTTAGACTCGGCCCGACGTCGAAGTGTTGACGCACTAGGGTATAGAGTTAGACTCGGCCGACGTCGATGTGTAGACGCACTAGGGTATAGGGTTAGACTCGGCCGACGTCGATGTGTAGACGCACTAGGGTATAGGGTTAGACTCGGCCCGACGTCGAAGTGTAGACGCGATAGGGTTAGACTCGGCCGACGTCGATGTGTAGACGCACTAGGGTATAGGGTTAGACTTGGCCGACGTCGATGTGTAGACGCACTAGGGTATAGGGTTAGACTCGGCCGACGTCGATGTGTAGACGCACTAGGGTATAGGGTTAGACTCGGCCGACGTCGAAGTGTAGCCGCGATAGGGTATATTATAGGACGTAGTTAGGTTTAGGAAAAAATCTACCACATATGACAACCCCATATGTGAAAGAATTTTTTTAATTAATCATAACTAGCATTTCTTTGTCTTGCAGGCTTAACATTTGTATGTTTTTGAGAAGAAAATGTACCAACACTTTAGCCAAAGTTAGTGTGTTGAAATAAGGGAAACATAAGGACATGGCTAGATTTCTAAAAATAATAACCCATGACATTGAGTAATCAAAGAACTAACAAATTTGCTTTGCAAGTAACAGAGAAGGGAGCGGTAGCTGAATTTGCACAAAGAAACGTGCAAGTAATTTTTTTAAATTGATTTAATTATGTACATGGTTTACATACACATGAATGCATTAGCTGTTAAAGATTAGGTTTGTAGTTGTAGCACCACACTGTGCTACTTGTTAGTCCATAATTCTCCTCTTTAACTGAGTCTGGTAGCTCAAAGTAAGCCCGCTGATGTAATAATTTTCTAATGTCATGGCTTTCAAATTGAGCCCGTCCTGGGTCACCAATGAGCACATGTGTTCCATGTGTGCTTATACACGTCTGGAGCCACTCCTGCAGATGATCAGCCAGACCTTCATCATAGAACATGTCTCCTAGAAGAATGAGATCCCAGGCCTCAGGCTTTGAACCGATCATGTTTTCTGTCACACAAGGTAAAGGGTCCACGTTGTTCAGTTCACAGTTCATTTTTGTGGCAATGGCAGCAACTGCAATAACAAAATAAAGCACTTATTTTTATATTTTATATAAAAGCACTTTATATTTAATATTATAGAACTTTTGTTTGTCAGTCAGTGTGGTGTAACCACAATAAAAAATAATTATGACTGTGTAAAAGTATATGTGTGTGTGTGTGTGTATATATATATATATATACTGTATATATATGTTAGTGCTGTCAAATCAATTGATCACATCTAACATAAAAGTTTGTGTTTATATAATATATGTGTGTATATATTATATATATATATATATATATATGTGTGTGTGTGTGTATGCATGTCTGTGTATATATATATATAAATATGTGTGTATACTGTATACAGTATATTTACACAGATAAAAAAAAAAATATATATATATATATATATATATACACACATATATTATGTAAACAAACTTATGTTAGATGTTATATTTGACAGTACTATATATATATATATATATATATACACTCACGGCCACTTTATTAGGTACACCTGTCCAACTGCTCGTTAACACTTAATTTCTAAGCAGCCAATCACATGGCGGCAACTCAGTGCATTTAGGCATGTAGACATGGTCAAGACAATCTCCTGCAGTTCAAACCGAGCATCAGTATGGGGAAGAAAGGTGATTTGAGTGACTTTGAACGTGGCATGATTGTTGGTGCCAGAAGGGCTGGTCTGAGTATTTCAGAAACTGCTAATCTACTGGGATTTTCACGCACAACCATCTCTAGGGTTTACAGAGAATGGTCCGAAAAGAAAAAACATCCAGTGAGCGGCAGTTCTGTGGGCGGAAATGCCTTGTTGATGCCAGAGGTCAGAGGAGAATGGCCAGACTGGTTCGAGCTGATAGAAGGGCAACAGTGACTGAAATAACCACTCGTTACAACCGAGGTATGCAGCAAAGCATTTGTGAAGCCACAACACGCACAACCTTGAGGCGGATGGGCTACAACAGCAGAAGACTCCACCGGGTACCACTCATCTCCACAACAAATAGGAAAAAGAGGCTACAATTTGCAAGAGCTCACCAAAATTGAACAGTTGAAGAATGGAAAAATGTTGCCTGGTCTGATGAGTCTCGATTTCTGTTGAGACATTCAGATGTTAGAGTCACAATTTGGCGTAAACAGAATGAGAACATGGAACCATCATGCCTTGTTACCACTGTGCAGGCTGGTGGTGGTGGTGTAATGGTGTGGGGGATGTTTTCCTGGCACACTTTAGGCCCCTTAGTGCCAATTGGGCATCGTTTAAATGCCACGGCCTACCTGAGCATTGTTTCTGACCATGTCCATCCCTTTATGGCCACCATGTACCCATCCTCTGATGGCTACTTCCACCATGTCACAAAGCTCTAATCATTTCAAATTGGTTTCTTGAACATGACAATGAGTTCACTGTACTAAAATGGCCTCCACAGTCACCAGATCTCAACCCAATAGAGCATCTTTGGGATGTGGTGGAACGGGAGATTCGCATCATGGATGTGCAGCCGACAAATCTGCGGCAACTGTGTGATGCCATCATGTCAATATGGACCAAACTCCCTGAGGAATGCTTCCAGCACCTTGTTGAATCTATGCCACGAAGAATTGAGGCAGTTCTGAAGGCAAAAGGGGGTCCAACCCGTTACTAGCATGGGGTACCTAATAAAGTGGCCGGTGAGTGTATATATATGTGAGTGTGTGTGTCTGTGTGTTTGTTTAATTATTTAGAAGTACATCATGTATGTCTAAAGTTAAAGTATTTTAGCTATTTTCACTTAAAGGGTACCCCACTTACAATTTGTCAATAAAACAATTAATTTTGTTAAAAACTAAAACATTACATTTTAAATGTAATAATCATAAAAAGTATATCTATTTTTTAATTATTCATTTTGATAATTTAGGAATGTATCCAGAGATTGGGTTTTCTTTGAATTTGGCTTTGTTTGAAAATGACTAACTACAAGAATGTACATCTCTAAGGGTGCTTTAAGTCCAGTTGAATTCCACAAATCACAATGTGAATAGCTCTTCTTTTTTTAGGTACGATCGAGGTGCAGAAACACAAATCTCACTTGGATCAATGTCATTGGCCACCACATGGGAAGCTCCACTGAGTCTGGCTGCAATGGCTGATGCTCCACAACCACAGCCAAGATCCAGCACCTTCCTGCCTCCACACACCTCGGGGTTATTCAAGAGATACCTGACAAAACAGTTCACAGCAGCATCATCAATAAAAAACGACAAAAGAATGCAGGTAGACTGAGCGTATCTTATAGCGTTCATTATTTTTAATGACTTAAACGTTACCTAGCCAGCGCCTGTCCACCGGGCCAATATATTGCCCAGTACGGGTCAGGGAAAGGCCACAATTCAGGTTTCTCCGTCCAAAACCGGCAGGTGGGTGTGAACAGTCTTAAAGAAATCTCTGGGGTTAAACTTTGGCTGCTTACTACTTCTGTGTTGTCTATAATGAAGTTCTTTATATCGTCCTCTGATCTGACGTTGCTTACGTATAGACGCATTAAACAACACATTCCTCTTTGAAATGCAGTGTCCTGACCGCGGAACCACATGATTATTCCTCTGTACATGTTGTCAATGCTGAAACTAGTCAAATATCCTTGTAATGTTTACATTTCTTCTATCCGCATGTCTGTCACGCATGCGCAGACGCGCTTGACACTTGTGGGACGTCACTGAGCTGAGCGCTACTTGAAAAACTGTAACTATACTATACTAGATATAAACTATATATATATCTTTATAAAAATAAATAGTTATTATATATATATATATATAATAACTATTTATTTTAATTTTATTAATTTACTATTTATTTTTATAAAGATATATTAGAAGTTTTTGCGTAATATAAAAACACACATTCTACAAATGTTCAGTTGCTCAAACAACAATGACTTTAAGTTATCTTTTGGGTGCAATTCCTCAGCTAAATTTGATGTGCGATTAATTAAGCGACACATCGTGTAATTAAATAAATTTATTAAATTTTAACGCTTCCATATGGCAGAGGGACATTGGTGAAGAAATTGACTCAGAAAAATGGTGGTTTGTTGTAAATATATAAAAGAAGCAAGGGGGAAGTTCACTCAATATAAGATTCCACAGATACTAGCCCACATGATTTTTCAGGATGAAACTGATGTAAGACAATTTATGTTGGAAATGCCAGATGGAAACACCTCTACACAGTATTTGGGAATGTAGTCTTGTTAAACCATTCTGGAAACAAGTTATGGTAATTTTTTTTTTTTTTAGTTGCTTGTATTGCTCCAAAATATCTTTAACTCCTAAACTGTGTCTAGGTGACAAGTCTCAAATTTCAAAACGTGCATTTTATGGTATTATGGTATGTATTACAATGGCATGTTGTAGGATTATTTTGAGACACTGGAAAACAATGAAAGCCCCAGAATTTAAAGAGTGGGCCAGTGCAATGGTAGAAATGGCATCTTATGAATCTATGCTTAACCGACGATGTTAGAGAGGAGGGATTTTCTCCTTGGGAAGAATTCTGGACACATATTACAGTAAGGTCTCAAAATTAATAGATAACCACTTTGTGTTTTGTCTTGTTTTATTTCATGGTCAAACTGTGCCTTGTAGGAACCTGTAACCCTGTTTTTATCGTAATGTTGTTGTACTCCTGTCACCTATCAACCTTCCAAAAGAAGCAATAAAAAAACTTAAATTCAAAAAACAAAAATGTAAACGCTTGCCAGCCCTATAATATAAATAGATTATGTCGATTATGTCTCTTAAATAGATATTTCATCGTTGTTGACTGGTTACAGTGTTTTGACAGGTACATGCCATGGTAAATGTTCATCATCATCACACCTTGCAGAAATAGCCTCATGAGCTCACTAAATGATTATTCACTGAAGAGGTGGGTTGGACACACACTCTCTGTGTCCTGTATATGACAGTCTCCATAGATACCTGCTGTCAAGCTTTCTTTCAGCAGGAAAGTACTGAGTGTGCATATTGAAAAAACAAGGAGGAAAAACAACCTTAACCAAGGATACAAATAGGTATGCTATTCTGTTCTGATGATTATGTAATTGTAAATTAAAATAAACAGCATTAGTGGCACGTTAATCTCAATTAATAGTAGGTTACTATGCATATTTACTCTTAATAACATGCAAATTATGAATGAGTAAACACTATACCCTTTCTGCAACAGAGGCTGCTTGACTGTCAAGTTACCAAGTCTGAATGAAGATTATAGCAACAGATAAACATACAACATTGTTTCCATGTTGCTGTGCCACTCTGACGTGCTCTGTTCAAACTCTCTGGTTCGTGTGAAATTGTTTTGTATAAGGGCAGGACAATCTGCAGTTGAGTACACAGTATCTCAACTCACTTTCCAGAGCTCTCATGAATATGGCCAATTGGAGAGGAGATGGACGAAGCCTTTCACCTTCAGATTTCTGGAATGACCAGGAATGGGACGCTGAACTGGGCCGTAGATCTTTCCGACACACTCTTAGGTCTCTAAGTCCCCTCGCTCTCTCGGATCTTGACTTTTGGGATAGTAGATCACTTTTTAAAGCTCGGGTATGTACAAACTGAAGCTATGGGGATGAAAATATATATTTTTTCTTCCCATATTCTTCTTTTATGTAATTTTAACAAACATTTCCCTTCCTTCAGAAATCTCCAGCATGGAGCTGTATGGGCTTACCTGGATTGACTCTCCGCCCAAAAATCAGCACCAGGTTAGTGCTTCAAAGTCACCATGAAATCAAAATGGACAGTTCTTCATTTTGTATGGAATATTGCAGTATTTGTTATAAATGATTTGTCTGTACACACATAATTTTTTTTATTCATGCGCCCTCATAATCTTTAATCAAAATAACTTCTCCCTCGTGCAGCGTCATCTCTTCTCTTCTATGATGACGTGTTTACTGGCATGAGTGCGGGTAAAGGGACTCCCTCGTTTCATTCAAACTCAGTTATTCGACTGTATTTACTGTAAATTGAAAAACATAGTAATAGTAGGCCTAAGGTAATTTTGTTGAACTGTTTGGCTTGTTGCTAGAATGAGTGTTTTGTACACTATAATATATTAAAAGATAACAGGTAAGATTTTGAAATGTTTTTTCTCAAATCAACATTTCATGTCTCCGTCCTTATTTATCTGGTGAAAAGCTGTCTATTAAGTGATATGACTGTGCATTATGTCCTAAAGTTGGCATAAAATGGACATTTCTCACATTCCTGCTGTACATTTTGAGTTGTTTTGGTGGGAACACACCTCCAGTACACAGGGGGGCGATAGTCACCTACAAATGGCTGTCATTCAAAAAATGGCATGAAATTGAGGTTGCGATTGTCTTTTCTTCCCTATTGTCATGTATATCGCTTGTATACTGAAACGGCTTCTCGAACATGAAAGATTGTAGGTCAGGACTTGATTTTGTTCATTGAGAATTGATTGGATGGTTGTGGTTTGCTATTTGTGGATCACATGTGACAGGTTGTCCCGCCCTCACGCCAGTAAACACATCATCAGAGAAGAGATGACGCTGCAAGAGGGAGGGCAAGTTATTTTGATTGAAGATTATAAAGGCAGGTGATTAAAAAAAAAAAAAAAAGTACCAGTATGGCAGGGTCAAAGCTGCTTGCTAGAAACTGTTTTTCTTTGTGGACGCTTTGCGTTTAATGAGCTAATAAAATATTTCAACTCAAATCAATATTTTGTGTCTAATTATAATTTACTTATGTGGCAAGTAGCCGTAAAGTGGGATAATGTACATCGAGCCGGTTGTTATCTCAAAAATAAAATGATATGGCTGGATGTACATTATCCCTTACTTTTGTCGCATACTTAGTGTTCTCTCTGTATCAGCACTCTTGGCAGTGAGAAGCAAACGGGCTCTTTGGGCATGACGAGATGGTCATCTGCATCTCGCTTGGCTCCAGAAGGAGCTCCACGGTCTCACTCTTCTTCTGAGGACTTTGAGCTCGGAGCTGCCCTGGAGGAAAGCAGCATGAGGAGGGCAGAGCTCATCCAGAGGCTCAGAGAGGCCAAAGGTCACTTGGACACACAGACAGACCTTTTGAAAACCAAAGGGTCTCAGCTTCAACAAAACCAGCACATCTCAAACCTTCTGGAGATGAAGCACAAGGTATGGATATCTTGCTTCCTCACCAACTGAAGCTGTTTGAAATCAACTGATTTTTTTTTTTTTTTACAATTGTGTTTTGTTTGATATTGGTTTGATTAGCTGAAAAAAGGAAAGATATATCAAAGTCTGCTGTTGCATTCAAGGAACACTCATCCCTGTTGATTTTCCTGCCTCAGCAATTGTCTGAAGCAGTGAGTGTTCTTGAACAAGACAAGGAAGCTGCAGAACTGAGCCGCTTTGAGGAGAGCCGCCGTCGAGGGGAATTACACGACAAGTGAGTTATACAGTCTTTGCACCTTGAATGGAATCCATACATGATGTAAAAAGTACACTAAACTAACATTAAACATGCATTACTAATTAGCACTACAAAGTATTTCATTTATGCACATAAAAAACTACCGTTCAAAAGGTTGGGGTTGGTAAGATTTTTTTAACGGTTTTAAAAGAAGTCTCTTATGCTCACCAAAGCTGCATTTATTTGATCAAAAATACAATAAATATATTATTACAATTTAATATAACTGTTTTCTGTCTTAATACATTTGAAAATGTAATTTATTCCTGTGATGCAATGCTGAATTTTAAGCATCATTACTCCAGTCTTCAGTGTCACATGATCCTTCAGAAATCATTCTAATTATGCTGTATTTGTGCAAATTTACTTTTAGGGTACTTCAAAAGAACAGCGTTTATTTAAAATAGAAATCTTTTGTAAGATTATAAATGTCTTTACTGTCACTTTGAACAATTTAATGCATGTATGGGCTGAATAAAAGTATTATTTGTTTAAAAAAAAAAAAACGCCATTAATTGTGACATTAATTGATCATGCAGCTTTGTACAGACACGCTAATTTTTATTTAACTTTTCACTCATTGCTATGCTGATAGTATAAATTGCAATGGACATTTGTGTATTAAAGGTACACTATGTAACTTTTGGCCCTCTAGCGGTTAAAAAACAGATGCATGCATTCTGCCGAAGAACATTGTTTTGGTTGTGCTTCGGCTCTGTGTGACTGTGCTGATGAATATGGTGATCCTACTGCTTATTAAATATTTATTTATAGCTTAAGAGATTTAACCAGTTTAGATGTAAAGGATCTCAATCTGACTAGCTGAAGACGTTACTGTCGCTATACCCATTAATAGACACAGTACTGAATTTTGTTTTATTACGAGCTTTGCCGCGTTTTCTTTTTTGCCTGCAGACTCTCCTCTGTTCGCTGCTTGTTTAAAATAGATGATTCCCTGGAGGTTTGAGATTAACGTGCTTCATGTCAAACTTTCTCGCTTGTTGTGTCAACTAGCCACATGCCACTCCTTTTCTCTATTTACGGATATGACTGTGATGTATGTGTGCAATTTCCTGCGAAATCCATCCCGACAGGTCTACAATATAAACACTTCTAATAGGCTTACCATAGTGAATCAGTGTAAGACAAAAGCACGTTTTGGAAGATGGATTGATGATGTATTGACTCATTATTCAAATGTTGTTAATTTTGAACAAAAAAAAAGTGACAAATGTAG